AAGCGTCCAGTAAACAAAAGCCCGGGGCCAGATGGCTTCACAGGGGAGTTTTACCAAATGTTCAAGGAAGACCTAAAACCTATCTTCCTCAGACTATGTCAAAAGATCCAAGAGGAAGGAACATTTCCCAGCTCATTCTATGAAGCCAACATCACCCTAATCCCAAAACCAGATAAAGACAATACAATGAAAGAGAATTACAGGCCAATATCCCTCATGAACACAGATGGCAAATTCCTCAACAAAATTCTAGCAAATCGGATCCAGCATTACATCAGAAAGATCATACACAATGACCAAGTAGAATTTATCCTGGGAATGCAAGGATGGTACAATATCCACAAATCTATAAATGTGATATATCACATAAACAAATTGAGAGATAAAAATCACATAGTCATATCAATTGATGCAGATAAAGCATTGGACAAAATACAACACCCTTTCTTGACTTAAAAAAAACAACAACATACAAAAAAACAAACCTCAGCAAAGTGGGAACAGCGGGATCATACCTCAACATAATAAAAGCCTTATACGACAAACCCACAGCCAACATCATATTCAATGGGCAAAAACTAAAACCATTTCACCTAAGAACAGGAACAAGACAGGGATGCCAACTTTCACCCCCCCTGTTTGACATAGTACTGGAAGTACTAGCCATAGCAATTAGACAATAAGAAGAAATAAAAGGTATCCAAATTGGAAAAGATGTAAAACTGTCATTATTTGCAGATGACATGATACTGTACATAAAAAACCCTAACGCTTTTCGCAGATGACATGATACTGTACATAGAAAACCCTAACGACTCTATCAAAAAATTATTAGACTTAATAAATGAATTCAGCAATGTAGCAGGATACAAAATTAACATCAGAAAGCTATGGCATTTTTATACACAAATAGTGAACTTATAGAAAGATTTTTAAAAAATCCTATTTACCATTGCATCAAAAAAATTAAGATACCTAGGAATAAACTTAACTAAGGAGGTAAAAGACCTGTACTCGGAAAACTACAGGACAGGAAAAAAGAGAGGAAGACATAAACTGATGGAAGAACATATCCTGTTCATGGATTGGTAGAATCAACAGCATTACAATGTCCATACCACCCAATGCAATCTATACACTCGGTGCACTCCACATTAAAATACCAATGGCATATTTCACAAACCTAGAATGAGCTCTCCAAAAATTCATCTGGAATAAAAAAAAAAAGACCCCAAATAGCTGCAGCAATTGTGAGAAAGAAGAACAAAGTTGGAGTGATCACAATACCAGATCAAGCTGTATTACAAAGCCACTGTTCTCAAAACTCCCTCGTATTGGCATAAGAATAGACATATAGAGCAATGGAACAGAACAGAGAACCCAGAAATTTACCCAAGCCATTATGCTCAATTAATATTTGACAAAGGAGGCAAGAACATACAATGAAGTCAAGACAGTTTCTTCAATAAATGGTGTTGGGAAAATTAGACAGATACATGCAAAAAAACCACAGGTGTTGTTTTCAGTCTG